TCCTCTTCCTCCCAGGCTGACTAGCGTTCTTACCCTGACTATTTTGCTTAGGATTCTTAGACCTACCCTTAGATCTACCCCTAACAAACATAGCCTCACCGGAGTCCCTGGACTGACTAGCACTACCCCTAGCATGCTTCAGGTCTAATTCCTTACTCCTTAACCCATTCACAACAATATCTAACGAAATCTCATCCCTACCATACTTAATAGCGGACTTAACATCATTATAAGAGTCGGGAATGGCATTAAGTAATACTATGGGAGTGTAATCATCTATGTGTTTATCACCTGCCTGTTTGATATTTTGTATCAGTTTATTAAACACATCCAGGTTCTCATCTATATCCTTAGTCAGGTCAAGCCTAAACCTAAAGAATTTCTCTAGTAAGAACAACTTCCCGGGCAAAGAGGTATCAGTATAGAGACTATCCAATTTCTCCCACAACTCCTTAGCGGACTCAAGAATACCCACTTTCCTAAGCACAGAATCAGACAGATTCAAGTAAATAGTAGAACAAGCAGTTTCGTTCATTTCAATTTGCTTAGCCTTATCTTCTGATTATAGGAAAATACCAGTGACAGCTCTGAAAACTTTTTGTTGAATTAAAACACACTTTATTTTCTGCTTCCAAATATCAAAATCTGTTTTTCCATTAAAAGGAAGCATACCATACTGATTCGCAGCCATGGTATCGACCACAAAAGGAACACAAAGCTAAACAGACTGAATTGACAGAAAATAATCCAACCCGGGTTATAAAGTATTCACTTTAATAACCCCGGGCAGCATGCAACACATAGCAAAAAATGGACATTTTGGCAATTTAAACAATTCCGGGAAGAAAAATAAATTTAATTAATTCTACCCCTACCACCCAATAAATCACCCCTACACATAACAATTAATTAAATAACACAAAGCAATTTAATTAATTAACTAAAACAGTCTACCACAAAGGAGAAAGTTTAGAACGTACCTGGGGGTTTGGCGGCCGGGATTAAATCAACCGGCGGCCCGCGGGGAGGGGGAATAAATTAAATTAAATTAAAAAACGGAATATAACAAATAGGAAGTTTACAGAAAACTTACCTTCGCGAAACCCTAGGAGAGCGTTTCGACCTTACCTACCCAATTTTTAAAAAATTGGGATTTTTCTGGAAAGTTGACTGCCGTTGACCGGCGTTGACTGGCAGTTGACCGGCGGTTGACTGGTTCCAGCTCCAGGTCCAGTCTCCAGCCCAAGTCCAGCAATCCAGCTTCAGTCCAAAAACAGCAGCAGTCCAGTTCAGCAAGTCAGCAGTCCAAGATAGCAGCTCCCAGCAGTCAATAAGACTGGCCCAGAAGCCCAGTAGCAGTCCAGCGGCCCAAAAAATCAGCCCAGCAGCCCCTGGTCAAAGCTGCTTCCTTTCTACGCAGCCCCAGCAGACCAGTACTGTTTGCGGACCAACGAGGGACGAAGACCGGCGATTGACCCAGGCGACCGGCGGCTTCAGCGGTTGTTCGCATCTGCTCCGGCGACGAACAGAAACTCCGGCGGCGACTCCTCTGACGACAAGCGGCGGGCTTCCAGGCGGCGAGACGTTCTGCGGCGTCGAGCTGTGGTGGTGACCTCGATGGACATCCGACGGTTTTCAGCCACGAGTGACCTCCGATGAACCAGCTTCCAAGGTCGGCGAATCTATCTCCGGCGAAGAACAGAGGACTCAGCTTCTGGCAAGCTCGGTTTCAACGAGCAGAGTCTACGTTGAAGACCAGCGAGCTCGTGCGAACGACCAGCAACTTCAGGGACCTCCGACGAGCTCCAAGTGACGGCGGCGGCGGATGGCGGCGGCGGATGGCGGCGGACGGCGAACCAGGCTCTGATACCACTGAAAGGATCGGATTCCGTCTCCGGCTCAGGTCTATTTACACACACTCTCACACACCACACTAGGAGGAGGCTATAGCACACCTATCTCTCAACTCTCTTCTTTTAACCACAAAGGAACTCACAAAGAGGAAGAAGGAAGACACTGCTCTCAATGGAAGTGTTACTCTCGCAGGCTTAATTCACAAAGGCAAGGAAGAGTGTTGACTTATAGTAGGCTGCCAGCCTATGGGCAGACAACAAGGACAGTCACAAGGTGGTAAGGACACTCACGGGTATAAGTCAAGCCAAAAGAGAGGGTGCAGCGGACAGAAGCAATGGGACAGATTTCAGGTACATTATTGATCAGGTAATATACCAAGGTAAAGGTGTCAAAGAGGGAGTAAATTAATAGGGTGCAAGCCTCAGCTAATAAAGTGGAAGGGAGGCCTTGGTAGGACCAATACCTCCAACAAATTAATATCATGCATGTGATATACTATGAATTAAGACATTAATACTGACATATTAATGCCCCATAATGCGGAAATGCTGCAATGAAATTGAGAAAAATGGATGTATATACACAATTAATTAGGTGCAGTTAAGTTAATATTACATATTAACACAAATAAGCCAGATAGCCTCGATGCACTTTCTTCCCCACTCTCTTGCACCTCCATTCTTAATTGTTTTAGGGAGTGTTTGCAACTGCTTCTGCTTAAATAAAAGCACTTTTGGAGATGTAAGGAAAAAGTGATTAGTAGGAAAAGTTGATAGTGTTTGAGAAAAAAATGATTTTGAAAAGTAAAAGTTGATAGTGTTTGGTAAAATAAGTGCTTTTTGTGTAATAGAAAGGGGAAAAGCACTTTTCACACGCAAGTCGAGAAAAAGTTAAAATTGGTAGTGTTTGGTAAATAAGTGCTTTTTTAAACCAAAAGCTGAGAAGTGCTTTTTTTTTAAGTGATTGCAAACACTCCCTTAGTTGTTTTAGTTGATGTCATCCTCTTCCTAGATTACAACAAAAGCACTAGGATGTTTTCAAAGCAGAATTGACCCGTCACACTGCTTCAAGGAATCTGCATGTTTTAAGTTAGCCTTTCTTTCATATAGTACATTGTAGTTTAAAAGCACTACAATGTACTCCACCATTCTTTCATCCAAAATATCTCACTCGTTTGCTCAATCTTCAATAACAACCATCCGAAATATACCCTCCAAAAAACCTGTTTTGACAGCAAAAACCTAAAAAACTAATTACCAGTCAAAAGCATTGCAATTATAAATAGGATTGGAGTCGGTGGAGGTGTAGAAACTGACCACCCATATCCTCAGAGGGTTGTGAATCAAATGAAATGCATCGGGCTCTACCGTTTAGCGCCAAGATTACCTGGTGTTCAATAATGATATGTAAAAGGGCTAATATTTGTATTCAAATTAGGAAAGTTAGATACAATAACTTAAAGTTTTACGTGTTATATATTAACAAAAAAAATCATGTGTATTTGAATTAATAAAATAGATGCTATTAGCTTCAAGTGACCTATTTTTTTACGGTTATATAGCATTTTTCCCAATGAAATTTCACAATGACAACAAGTTACTCCTATTTGGGAGGACATAGTAGACTAGCTTTAGAATTTGTTATTACCTTTACTCTCATTTTGAGATTTTTCCAATAAGACATGACACTGTAAGAAATTTAAATTCACCCAGTATGATATCTTTATCAAATGTGATGTGCAAGGTGAGAAACATGAATATAAATTATAAATTGGTGATGATCTCCCAATGAAGTCTCAATTACGACTATTGCAATGGTGAAGGTGATTGACACAATAGAGTTAGAGGATGCTATGTACACCAAAGGGAAAATATTCATACTTGGCTTTTTTATATACCTTAATTGAGTTTTTTTTTTAATTTTACACATTAAACAATCAAGAGTACTGTTTTATGTCAAATAGTATATATTAAAGTCAACAGTGGATTAGTGATATGCAAAGGCTAATGAATGATATTCAAAATTTAAAATGAAACGTTTATTTTAAAATACTCGAGGATACATAGTTAATAAACAAGATGCATAAAAAGAACATATTGTACTTTTGGTCCAACATTTATCAAGTGATCTATACTTTTCATCCTTAAAAATTTTTCCTTTCCCCTTTTGCTATGTGATATTTTTGGACAATTTTGATAAAGAAAAACTGATTAATAGAATGGACAAATTATTTTCATATTAAGAGTTGGAATTGAAAAGTGAAACATTTCCATAAAATATAATGTCACTTAAAGATCACATTTCACTCGTTTGAATATTAAAATTGGTTCCATAAATGCTCTCGAATTTTTATGACGAGTTGATTTTTTCAACACACTTTTCATCTAAATGAACCACATACTATGAGTCTATGTGGTGACCTTGTTTTTCAATTTATTAAGCTTATCACCTAAATTTTAGGTCAAACACGTGACTTTTGATTTCATGCGATAAATGGTGTAATAATAAGAAAAAGTAAGTTTGAACTTTTTTTCTGGTTTCATTGGCTGAAGTTATCATAGATGTTCATTTTAGTTTTTTTTCATATAGTTTTTTCTTTATTTTATGAATAAAAAATTTTAAATATATTTTTTCATAAATCTGCAAAATTAGTCAATCAAGTTACTTAAGCTATAACTTCATAGATTATACCACAATCAACCGATTCAGTCAATTTGAATGTTGACAAACGGGCTTAGGTTGGTTTGCAACTGCTTTTAAAAAATCATTTTTCAGCTTTAAAAAAACACTTATTTTACCAAACACTATAATTTTTTTTTTCTCTGCTTTCGTGTCAAAAGTGTTTTTACTTTTTATATTACACAAAAAACACTTATTTTACCAAACACTACCAACTTTTACTTTTCAAAATCACTTTTTTCTCAAACACTATCAACTTTTATTTAATCACTTCTCCTTATTTCATCAAAAAAACATTTTTTTAAAGCAGAAGCTATTGCAAACAGACCCTTTAATTTCACAACGATGAGATCGGATACAAATCAGGATCATTCTTAATGTAGATATCCTTATGCCCATTTATGTGAAAGCTTTTTTCTACAAAAAAACTTACAAGATGAAAGTCTATTTCAACTTAATTCACGGACAAAAAACCTTTCACAAAGATCATTTTTCTACAAAAATTACTCTTCAAAACTTCAATTGCACACAAAACTCCCCTCCAAACTCCAAAGCAACTCTCAGAAGTCAGAACAATAAACAAATCTAAAATAAGTTGCAAAAGAAATATCTTCTCAAAGAGCTCCCATGAGCCATGGCGTCCTGCATCTCCCCATCTACTACAAATCCTCTTCAAAGCACAACCTACAACTCCCGATTCAAACCACGGGTTCCAATTTCAATCACCTTTATCTGTTCTTCTAATCACAGGGCGCTAAGGATGAATTGCAATGCGGCTGCAAAGCAGCACACCGGTCCAGTGAAGAAGCGAACGAATTCAAAAACAAAGAAAAAGAGGAGCCCGGGTAGCAATACTATTGTGGACGCTGACGATATCTATGAAGATTTTGAGTTCGAATCGAACTATGGAGCACCGCCGCCTCCAGAAGCTTACCACCCGTTGCCGCTGCCTAAACCTCCCGCCGGCTTCGTCCTGGATGAGGAAGGCCGGGTTCTCATGGTCTCTGAAAAGCGTCTTGTTACGATTGTGAGTTTCTAATGTTCTCAGTTTCTCAGCGGGAATTGTTTTCTTCAACCAGGCAATCCCGCACTTATTTCCCGCCTTTTTTCACTGCGTCAGTCATATTTCATAAAGGTTGTGCTCTGCAAAGAATATCAATGGGGTTATTTAGGCAATAGGTTTAAGGATCATTGTCTAATTGATGAAGATTGTGGGTTGTACATCTTCCATCTCAATGAATTTACTATTCCTAGGATTATTAGTATTCATACTCATAACTATTATCCTAAGCTTTGACAATGGAGACTAAAGTGGGGTACTACCGCACTGTAGTTCTCTGTGTTCTTGACAAAAAGTATTTTTGCAGCAGACAATTGGAATTTTTGAATAGTGACTATGGGAAAATTTGAATAGTGACTATGAAAAAATAGTGTGGGTATGCAATCTGAACTTGGATTTACGTTTTCTTAATTTTTTTAAACTTTGTATGTTGATAGAAATTTTAGGTATTGTGAATTTCAGTTACTATTGCGTACTGTTCATTACCAGTTGGATGGGTTCCAGGCTGATAACATATAGCTTGTTTGAGTGTTACACATGCCATACACATTATAAAATTTCTTGTATTATATCTAGGACTTATTTACTTGAAAGTCTTGAACTTCCTATTTAAATGTTATTCATTTTCTCAATGCTTGATTGACGTTCATCATTTTATGGACTTGGATGGCAGGTGGATCCAACCAATAATTCACCTTTAGAGTGTGTTATTAGGAGGATATGCAGAACTACACAGGGGGTTGAGTGTATGCTGCTCTGCCCTGTTGATATGTAAGCACTAAGTAGCTTACCTTATTGTACTCAATTTTGCATTCACTGAAAGAACTAACAAGCTTTCTTCCATTATCAATTGCATCTAACAAATGACGTCATACCTGCAGGCCCATTATGATCTTGAAGAGCACAAATGTCGTGGGGTGGTCAGCTGTATGTCTTAACATTAATTAATGCCGTTAAGTGTTTATATTTTATTTAATTTGGTATGGTCATCCTCACAAACATCAGTAAAACATATTTGGGTTTGAAGACCTGTTCGTGGCTTCTCAAAATAGATTTCATGAAAAATGCTTATTTAAGCTCCCCACAAAGACATTTTTTCCCCTTTATCTTGCAACAACAACATTACCCCTACCCCCAGTGCCGCAAAGGCTCCCACCTACAGTGAGGTAACCGGGTAAGGGGGTTGGATGTACACAGCGTTACCGATGTGCTAAAGCACAAAGAAACTGTTTTCGAATGACTGATGATGAAAACCGGTCGAAAATTGCATGAATTGACTGTTGCTCCATAACAAAGAAGCGCATATAGTTAAGTAAGCCATTTTGCTTTATTCTATCACATTCCCTTAAAAGAACTTTATATTTTGGCCTGAATCCTACTTTATCTATTAGATATGCCTCTAAATGAATGGAAAAACATTTGCATGCTAATGTTTTCATTTCCAATAATCAAAGCATGGCACAATTTAGATCCAAATTGTATGCACTTCTTGTCATAGGTCAGTGATGATGAAGTTGAAACTATCCTCCCTATGGCAGCCTATGCTCTTGCCAAGATTCACATTCATCTTGTACATAGTGGGTATGCAATATATCTTTTGGAATGATCAGTGCTAATATGCCCTGTTTCTGGCATCTTCACTTATTTCCATTATCTAGGTTTTGCTATACTGCACGTGGAGGATTTTGCTATACAGAGGGTGACATCTTTGATCTTTGCACGGGTATTCTCTTAATCCTTATCTGTATCACAATTTTTGAATTTGGTTATAAACAACTGCTATAGTGGTTTACCTAAATTAAAAGTTCCTAATATTAAAAACCCAATACCTGCATGCTTTCCATTCACTATCAATTACGAATAAAGAAACCCATGAAGTTTATGTTCCCTCCCATATCATTTAAAAAATGTAATCCACATCAGGCATGCATGTATCAAGGAGAAATAATTGTATTATGGTTATTACTCATTAGCACTTGTCACTGATTTGCACCAAGTTGTTTCTACAATCTTCTTAGCCAAGTATTTAACTTATCATGAATATATTTAAATCAGTAAATGAATAAATGCATAGAATGTAATGGTTTTGGAACGTCTGCAGATGAAGGTCAGAGAGATGACGGTGTGCCAACTGAAGGAGTAGAAATCACATGCTTCAATCTTGTAAGTCTGTTTGTCTGATATGTAGCGAAGTTGTTCTGATTTGGTATGCTGGTATTGCATTGTAGGCCATGCATTTTAGTGTTTTTAACTTCCTGAGTTCCAGAAGTAGCAACACATATATGGATAATTTGGTAGAGGATATCAGCCCTCAATGTTCTTAATCGCGTTCGTGATCGGATCTTTGTAAATATTTGTTTCACCATCTTGTGAAAGTTGCGCCACCCTTTTTGTTGAAATTCACCACATATGTTAGCTAAACCATAGTTTAGAGTTCTTAAAGGTGGATGCTAGGTGAGGTCTACCTGAGTAGCCGCTAAGGCTCTAAGTGGGTATAGGATGCCCGAGCCTAGGAGTCAAACTAGACTGGTCCGGTTGACCCAGGTCTTGTTTATGAGTGATAGTGGATCAAAAGTGACAGCTCTGACGTATTAGGTGTAGACACAGTGCCTTACACTTGCCATTTAAAGTACACTTTGATGTTTGGTGCTGCCTAGTGCCTACTATTTGAGTCATTGACTTTTCTCGTGGCTTCTAGGATACATACATTCATAAGAAGTAAGACACAATATGAGACTATGAGTCATATTTCAAGTGCATACAAATTGCTGTATTTAGCTATTGCTTTGTATTTCTGAACTGTATTTATATATTTCCATAACACATATTTCATCATATAAAATACTATCGTATAAAATAGATATACATTTGAACTTAAAATATTGAAAGTAATATGTAGCGTAAAAAGGTTAGAGAAAATGCTTATATTGATCTTTATTTTATAGGAACCTACTATTTGCTGACCTAGCGCTTGGCCTTTTAGAACACCCTCTTGGATCCCTAGGGCATTAGGTAGGACCATTACTTACATATGTTGGAATGTATATATATATATATTGTGTCTTTCATTTTTATTTCTCCAATTTCATTTTTCACATTACTTTTCAGCTCTATTTTGGTACTTTGGGAGAAAATTAATTGTTTTTGTATGCTATATACTCCCACTTCATTTGTTGGCTTCTATTTGATCAAGATGCTCTCACTAAATGAGAAGTGCTGCACCCATTCCCTGTCGGTATCCAATTTTAGCATTGCAATGTTCATTTTTAGCCTTTTTTCGGTTGGACTTATTTTAGACCAGACCAACAATGTATAGTATTATATTTTATCACTTTCATTCATTGTTCTAAAACTTGCTAAGCGCTAGTTGGGCGGTTGAGGGACGTCTAGCGCCTAGGCGGCCGACTAGGCCGATTTTTTGGCCGACTACACCAATTATTCCTGTACAGTTAGGGCTGGCTAGGCCGATTAATCAGTCCGACTAGGCCGATTCTTATAACAATGCTCTTATTATTACTAGAATAGTACTGATAGAAGTATTATTGTTATTTAAAATAATATTAATGGTTTAATAATATTACATTCACTACTATCATTCTACGTAATAATGATTTATTATTATTATTACTACTACTACTACTACTACTACTACTTACTAATATTACTATTCTTAGTTTATTACTATTATTATTAATACCACAACTACAACTATTATTGTTATTACTATTAGTCTTTATACTTTTTATTACAAAAAGTAAAGGAATTGTTGTTATTATTATTACTACTATTATTGTATATATTCTTATCAGTGTTGTAGTGTTGTTGATAATGTTGGAAGCAGGGAGTGACTTTTGCAATTAAATAAATATATGAACAACATAAATTATAAAACATCGTCTATCCTATATATCATCACCATTTGCTCTAAGCCTTTCTATGGTCATACTTTAATATAAGTAATACAGAGTATATTACACTATTATAGAATAACAAATCAATTCAAATAAAGTTAAATAATTTCATATCAAACAAGATCTGAACAGACTAGACCAAATATAAACATAAAATTTAAGACTTGATCGGACATAAACATAAAATTTAAGACTTGACCAGACCATCAAATTTCAGTTTAAATGAACCGGACCTTAGATGTCATTTTTTTCCAACAATGTTTTGATTATCTTACATGTGTAGGGGACTAAGGCAGTATGCTGCTTAGGCTATTTTTAGCTGCTAGCGAGCCTAATGAATCTATTCGTTTCTCCATCTTTTACCTATTTCACTTTTGATGGAAAGGAACATATGTTTGACTTGCCATTTGGCACTTTCATCTTTATCTAAAGGGTGATATATAATGTAGTGTTTTACAAAGCTATTCATTTTCTAATAAGTAGAAAGAGTTCAAATTCCAAAAGGTACCAAGGGGGCACTAACCTATAACCCTTTATAAAAAATTACTTGCAAAGAAGAATGTCCAGAGCTCATATAGGCGTCTGAAGCCAGAATCTATTCATATAAAAGATCATCGACCTGTAGATGTGACTTGTGTCTAATTGGTTTATGTTCTTTTGTTTTAGTTTCAAACAAAGGGATCTGGCTGTATGAATTTAAGCCTGGAGTTTCTAGATGTCCCAGCTTGAGGATTGCAGTATTGTAAAATGTAGAAACCTGCAACAACATCTGTAGCTCTTAAGAGTGTTGGCATTATGTTATTACTCGTATTATTTATAGAACCAAAATTATCCATTCCAGTTGGTCTGTTTGAACAAGTTCATGCATAATAGGCAGTCAGAGCTTTCAATAACCCAACTTCAACACTTCTGTTTGTTAATTTTACCTTGTATGATGACTGATGAGCTTTACCCACTAGATCTTTTTATCTAAAAATAATCATGTTAGGATGTTTTCTTTTGGACGGTTTTCAATCCTAGATCAGATCAGACTAGACCAGATCAGACCAGACCAAACTAGATTTCCGTAGTTATAAAATACACAGAGACCAGACGTTTACCAGACCAACAAATTTCAGTCCAAAAGAAAACATCCTTATTTCTGCTTCATATTTTTTTTTTTTTTGCACTAACACCTGGTGATCCTGATTTCATCAGACTAATCCTGGGCTCCCAATAACCCACCCCAAATCATCATGCCTAACCCAAGTGTGAAGTTTTCCTTGAAACATGGCATATAATATTAGGATTAATGTCTTTGTTTTCATTATATAATCTGTAGATTATTTTCAACTTATTTTCTTTAACGTGGAACATAGTGAGGTTTATAAAGGTATAATTGTATCTTGAATGTGCCGATGATGTTGTAATGCGTTTTGAACTTAGTAGGTTAGTTTTATTTGTTTTTCTTTTTTGGAAATATTGAAGTTCTTGACACTGACCCACCTAGACTGGATTTGTGAATTCTTTCAAGAGTTTGCAAGAGTTGTGAATTCTTCCATGTTGCATTTCAATCTTTTTTTTTTCGTGTAGGACGGTTTTCACTACTCGAGTTTCCAAGGGTTGTGAATTCTTTCATGTTGCATTTTAATCTTTGTTTTAATTTTCTGTGTAGGACGGTTCTCACTACATGATTTTCACACCTTCAGATCCACTTCTTTTTGTTGCCGTAAAGGTATGGTATCACATCACATGGTATCTAGTTTCCCTTATTCATCGATACGATCTTTCTTTGACCATTAGAGAAGGCCAATTAGCCAAATGTTAAGTTTAAAATAAACTTGTCACTTTCCGATAAATTATATTTATGGAATTTATTCTAGTTTGGGGGTGTTTGGTTAAATTTATTCTAGTTTGTCTAGGTAATAATGATAATGCTTTAATACTACCTTGTTTGGATCATACGTAGTATTATCATATTATGAGGTATCTTGTTATGGTCATATGGTCATTTTTTATGTTTTACTTTTTCCAAGGTAAAAAGTTCTTGTATAGTGTCGATTTGTAATATTACGACCATGCACTGGTGGAAGTTGAAGAAAAAATATTTGATTTTTTAACCCCATGAAAGCCGAGTACAAACTTTACATTGGTGTAGCCATGTAAGGTAATATTATACGTAGTAACCTTCATTAAATAAAAGCCCAAACAAAAGCAGCTTCTAAGGCATTACACTTTCATGCATATGTGTTTTACAAATTTGCCATCAGAGCAGGGTAGAATGCACAGAGTAAAAATGACAGTCAAAGTTCGATAAATCAGATGACCTGTTCTGAAACTGGTCTGAATCGTATGATATGCACAACTGGCTTCTTTAAATAGAATTATGTTCCCTGGTTGCTTTACAATATGCTGGATAAGGGAGTGAGTGACTGAGTGTTGTTTTTAATGGAACTTTTTACTGCAGGATAAAGATGGTATATTTCAAATTGCAGATGATGTAAGTAATTTATCCAATAGCTCAGCATAAATTGTTATGTGAATGGTGTATGCTATGGTCCTCTGACTCCTCTCCCGTTACTATTAGTTCCTTTGAATATGCACACACATTTTATTTGAATAATAAAACAATGACACATGGTCCATCATTAAAACAGGAACTGCTGGAAGACCCAGCAATTGTACGTACAATTGATGAGGAGACAGAATTCAATGCTTTAGTGGTATGCTTGTTTATGTTATTGAATACTACGTACAACTTCAGGATACATTATTGATTAGATATTTCCAATTTTTTATGGTTGGCTTTTATTTTGCAGGAAGAGGAGATTGCCCTTTTCGAGTCGCTTTTGGGTGAAAGATGATAACACCAAGTATCGTAATATGGTGAGTAGCTAGAAACCTTGGAGTGAATTACAAGAATTGTGGATGAATGTCTTGATTGGGCAGAATTATCTAATTTGTATTTATTTTAATATATTTAAAATAACAGTTTTGTCTTACTTTTCTATTATATTACTCCGAAGTTTTTTAATAAGTACCATTTAGTTAAAGTTATAAATACAGAAATCTAATTTTGGATGTTTTCTTAATATAAAAGAAAACCAGTACCCTACTACAAACTAGTTAGGGTCGGTTTGCAACAACTTCTGCTTTAAAAAAAGTATTTTTTTAATGAAATGGGGAAAAATGATTAAATAAAAGTTGATAGTGTTTGAGAAAAAAAGTGATTTTGAAAAGTAAAAGTTGGTAGTGTTTGGTAAAATAAGTGCTTTTTGTGTAATAGAAAAAGCAAAAGCACTTTTAACACGAAAGCCGAGAAAAATAAAAGTGGTAGTGTTTGATAAAGTAAGTGCTTTTTTAAAGTCAAAAGTTGAGAAGTGCTTTTTTTTAAAGCGTTTTCAAACCAACCCTTAGAGCAGAGTAGTGGTACTTCGCATCCTACACAGGAACAATCCCTGTATACAAGATTACAACAAGTACCACGTGAGTGCCCATCTTGAGGATAGACTAGAAGATGGCGATGTATATGGTGGCAACTAGTCTGTGTTGCCGTTAGGTTTTTGTTGATGGTTGTTGCACCTGGCCACCTGTCCTTTGCCGTCACGGATTACTATTAGGGAAAAGTACAAATATACCCCTTTAGTATGCATGGAGAACAAATGTATCTTTGCTCTATTTATTACTCTGTAGAATCTATTTATTAGAACAAACAGTGGCGGAGCCACATATGTTCTAAGGTGTTCATATGAACACCCAGATTTTTGTAAAACATTTAAGTATATATTTATAAATTTATTGTAATTATTTACTACTATTAAAAACTCTAGTTATGGAAAAGCATTGAACTCCCAAAATTTGAGTTCCAAATCCGCCACTGAGAACAAATATACCCCTGAAGTATATGTTGAAGTGCATATATACCCCTTAGCTTTTAAGAAGTGTAAAGGCTAAAGGGTCAAATAGGCCCTTGAACTGACTTAAAGTATTCAATTAGCCCCTTATATAAGAGGTTCTGCTTGGGCATCGCTAATTGGGGTGGTTTCGGGTGGAGTTTTTTGATGAAATTTTTTGAGCATCTTCTTCATTAAGTTTAGTTTACTCATACCAAATTTCAGCTAAAAATTCAACCGGGAAGGCAGTCAAATGATTTTACGAAATGTACTGCGCTGTTTAACTTCGCAGTTATCTTCAAAAAATCATTTGACTGCCTTCCCGGTTGAATGTTTAACTGAAATTTGGTATGAGTAAACTAGACTTAATGAAGAAAATGCTCAAAAAATTTCATTAAAAAATCCACCTAGAACCGCTCCAATTGGCAACGGCAGGGCACAACCTCCTATATAAGGGGCTAATTAAACACTTTAAGTCAGTTCAAGGGCTTATTTGACCCTTTAGCCAAGTGTAAAAATACCCCTCATATTCTTATAAAGGAGCAAATTTATCCTTGTTAACTTTAAATAGATAAAATAAATGTAAAAAAACACCCAACATAAATTATAAATTCCAATTTTAAAAATAAATATTTATTATTATGTTAAAATATTAACCCCTTAATTTTAAATTCCAATATTATTATTTTTCGTTGTAAATGAGTATTAATTTTTAGTGTGAAATTTTGAACACATTATAACATTTTTTGAAATAACATTCTTTGACTTTGATTAACCTTAATGAAATTAAATTCACTATTTTGTAATTTTGGATTATTTATCATCATACAAAATATGTAATTTTGTAGTGCAAAGAATGCAAAACATTGCAACACATATGTTAACACTTTTTCGAAAGAATCTTAAATACTTTGTATATAGTAAAGTTTTGAAATAATATTTTATACTAACAATATTAAATGGTGATATACGAACTATAAAAGGAAGAATTGGCTACAAGTACATCTTTAAAAATTTTATTTTTTAATTTTTAATTTATAATTTATTTTTTGTGTTTTTTTGAAATTTATTTTATCATTTGAAAGTGAGTAAATTTGCTCTTTTATAAGTAGTGATGGACCGGGCCCGGGTCGGGTACTCGGGTCTAGGCCTGGCATGCTTTTTGGGGTTTGGGGGTAGGCTCGGAACCGGCCCGGTTATCCATCGGGTCCTGGCCGGTTCAGGCCAATTCTTTTTTTTTTTTTTTTTACTTTTCTAATTAATCCCCGACCCCCCCCCCCCAAGGCCCAAGGCCCCAAACCACCCCAAACCACCCGGCCCAACCCGGGAAAATTAAAAAAAATAAAATAAAAAACAAAAATAAAAAAGTCCGAACCGGGCCGGGCCGGGCCGGTTCCATATTTGGGTGACCTGAGCTTGCCCCACGTAACCTCCGGGCTGGGCCTACCCGAACTGGGCTCTGGCGGGGCCACCGGGCCGGGCCGGTTCCAAACAGTTCCTTAAATTCTAAGGTACAATCAAAATTTTTCTGCCATTTTACATTTAATGTTATTTTTAAATTCAAGTAATATGACTTGGTATGAATTTAGGGAGAATTTGATTTTGCACCCCATGTTTTGGTTAATATTGGACTTTGCACCACATTTTCAAAATCATTAATATTTGCACCCTATTTCACTATATAATCATTTGACTTTGCACCTCACTCCTTCACAATTTTTGAGCTAATGGGGTGCAAATATTAATGATTTTGATTATAGAGTGCAAAGTCTAATATGACTTAAAACATAGGGTGCAAAGTCAAATTCTAGACACCAAGGAATGTAAGTAGGAATATAGTACTACATAATATACTAATATACGTACCCCAACCTCATGCGACCACTCCCCACCCCACCCGGCCACCCCCACCCTTAGGCCTCTTAATGTGTCGGATCTAGACCCGAACCTGATCCGAATCCGACATTTTATTTGAGGGTATGAGTCTGAATTTAGAACCGTTTCCCGGATCCGGATCCAAACCCGTTAAATGATAGAAAAAATGGGTTGAATATGGGTTTTTAAGTTCCGGCCCGTTTTAGACCTGATCTATGATGATATAATTATAGTTATAATTTTTTACATACACACACACAATGTACATAGAAATATTTAAACATAAAATAAGGAAAATATCAAATATAAAAATGTTTTAACATTTGTAGGCTTAGTTAGTGGTTGGCCCATTATAATGAGATTTTCGCTAATGAGTTATTGCTCTAGGTTCTGTATGAGTTCACTAATATACATATCGCATACTTCGTATATTATTGTATACTAGTAGTTCATAAGGAGTAATGTATAGAACAACATTTTGCTTATTTATATACTTCGTATTATAAGGAGTATATAACAAAAAATTGTTCATGTTCGTATTATAAGGAGTATGATCTCTTTCAACATGAACAACTTTTTGTTATATACTTCGTATTATATTTCTTTGTATGTCATTTAGTTTTTTTTTTGCAGGTATACCCGGCCCGGATCCGAGATCCACCGGATCTAAATCTGGAACATATGTTTAGGACCCGAAGGGTAAATGAGTTCGGAATTGGACCAAAATAATTTCAACGGATATGGATATGGAATTTATAGTTCCGGCCCGTATCTGACCCGTTGACAGGCCTACCCACCCCCACCCCTAGTGTAGTTTAGGGTTTAGCGCGGCTGGTAAAGTTCCGGGCTCTTTTCTTTCATATTTTTTAGGATATCTTTACTTGGATTGTTTTTAGTCCCAGACCAGATAAGTTGGCATCAGACCAACTTTAAATGGACCAGATTTCCAAGCTATAAAATGTACCGTGATCATACATTTATCAACCAGCCCAGTTCAGACCAAATTACACTAGATTTAAACAGAACAGATGCGACTAAATCAACAAATTTTAATACAATTAAAAACATTCTTATAGGCACGTTCGTGTGCACATATGTTTATAGGCATAGTTAAGCATTGAAATAATTTGAATTTATACATACAACTTATGGTTAAGTATATATTGGGTACCACAACGACAAAAACAGGTTCAACAAACAATTAGATTGATAATTATATAATATAATTAGTCTCATTAAATCATCTAGACCAGATTTATGATACACCTTGTTCATCTAAATGTACAATATTCAGTCTTCGTGAGAATACTCGGCTCATTTCATTGAACTTTATCGACGCCTATTATTTAATTGATCCATAAACTTTACTCTGATATTTAAAGTAATTAATTTATGATTCTAATAATTTGTTTCACCTCCGTACATAATTCAATCACACGATATTTTTATAAACTCCGTATTTGAAAGTAATACTCCGTATCAGTTTTAAATTATATACTAGGTACGCCGTACCCAGTTTAATCTCACCTTGTGACGATAACATTCCATTACATTGAGTAAAAACATTACTAATTATCAAAACTCAGGATTTGTGATACTGGATTAGCAAGTGGGCACAACATTTTTTAATTGTTACACCATAATGAAAAAGGAGGGAGAATATGAATATACCATTATCTTACGCTGAATTGTGTACCCACACACTAGATGAGACACATCAAATTTGTATAGCACAAAAATCTCGTTTAGTTTGCTTGGAGCTTTCTTGCGTGGATTTTTCTGAATGACAGATCTCGCCAATCCAATAGGTGACATCGCCCACCCTAAGTGCTTTCACATAAAATGATGGAGTAAATGGAGTTGTTCTAAGAGAGGCGTTTCAGGACTTGTTGATGCTCATAAGGAGTCACCATATTGAATGAAATCTTAAAAATAGTTCCTTGATGAGTTGATGTCTTTGTTAATAAAATAGTTCCTTAAGTTGTCCTTGTTCATAAAATTGTTCCTCTACATGTTTAAACCTTAAAAATAGTTCACCAAAAAGAGCTTTGTATTTTGGGATAATGTTATATTTATCAATCTTACACCATTAGTCACGTCATATAAAAGTTTTTACCTAATTGGTTATGGGAACTGAGTTGATTGAAGATGATAAAGATAATGTACATTATAAGATGTTTTTAATGGATTGTTTTCAGTCCCAAATCAGACCAGATCGAATCAAATTTAAATAAATCAAACCACTTCATATCAGACCAGACTAGACTTGCGTAATTCTAAAATACACAAAGATCAGAAATTTACCAGACCAGATCGGTTCAAATCAAATTAGACCAGCAAATTTCAATCCAAGTAAAAACATCTATACTCTTATGTTGGAGTTGATAAAATGAATGAAAGGGAAAGTTTTACTTGGGTATTTCAAGTACTGTTTTTTTAGACATGTATTTCAAGCAGTGTTCTAAAAGACTTCAAAAGGCGCAGCCTAGGCGCGCCTAAGCTTGATGCGCGAAGGAAACGCCCCGCCTACTCTATAGGCGTGGAAAAAGGCGCCTAAACGAAAGAATACACTCAATAAACTCCGTAATACGGAGAATAGAAAATTTATTACTACTCCATATCGAGGCAACTGTCAGTAATCCAACTTGGATTTCAATTGCCATCGCAACGCGTTGCTTAGAGCTCAGTATGGGATATCTATTATATAGAGATTTGGAAGGAGGGGATATGCTTACTCTTCCGGTGTGGGAAACTCGAATTCGAAGTATCAAAATATAACACCCCGTACAAACTAAAGTTAGGCTGCACCATTCCACTGCCAACTAATCCAACCAAGTGGACTTCACATTTTTAAACCACTACGTATATCCTGAGTTGATCCTCTTTATTGCAATTATTATTATTATTATTAACTATTATTACAGAAGAGGACTGCTCAGGTCCCTCCGGAGGGACGGGAGGGACCGTCCGAACTTTATTGTTTGGGGCGGTTCCCGGTGGAATTTTTTGATGAAACTTTTTGAGCATGTTCCTCATCAAGTCTAGTTTGTCCATACCAAATTTCAGCTCAAAATTCGACCGGGAAGGCAGTCAAATAAATTCTTGAAACTTACTGCACTTTATATATGCGCAGAATGTGCAGTAAGCTTCAAGAATTTATTTGACTGCCTTCCCGATCGAATTTTGAGTTGAAATTTGGCATGGACAAACTAGACCTGATGAGGAACATGCGCAAAAAATTTCATCAAAAAATTCCACCGGGAACCACCCCAAACAGTAAAGTTCGGACGGTCCCTCCCGTCCCTCCGGAGGGACCTGATCTTTTCTGTATTACAGAATATTATTTTACCAACCAACTATAACTCATGTTTTTGTAAACTTATGTAGTACAGTACTACGTAAAATGTAAACTTACTATTTGTGCTTTTGATTTTGAAACAATTATTTCTATCTATTGCAATATAAAAAGGGTATCTCCCTAATCAAATACTATTAGTGAGTATAATTGTGTCCAAAGTTACATCACAGTGACTACATGTGTATTTATTGCGTTGTAACTTTGAACACAATTATAATAAATACGTAGTAATAGTTACTAAATCACATTTTTGTCCACCACTTTTCTAAAAGTAATATTAGTGAAAACTTTTTATATAAAAGTATAATTTTTGCATGTGATATTATGTAATATTACATTGACATACCAAACAATAGCAGAAAATTGAAAAAAATAGTTAAAAAAACAAAACGCCTTTTCACGCCTAGGCCTCGCCTAAACCCGCCTAGGCTTCAAAGGCTTCGGGCTCGGCTGTGCCGCCTCGGCACGCCTTACGCCTTTTAGAACATTGATTTCAAGTACTGTTTTTTTATTAACTAACCTCAACAACTTTCCAAAACTTTTGTAATTTCAAGCAACATCCAAGTGTTTAAGACTTTGAGTGCACTTTTAAAAAATAGCTATATTCCTTTTAAAGTCGCACAACAAAATAAAAAAGTTCTCCTTTTCAAAATAAAATCTACAACCATTACGGTACTACCTCTGTCCCCCGTAATGGTTGTCATCTTTCAATTCGACACGATTATTATTAAAGTGGTTGAAAAGTAAAAGTTGTGACTGAGAATTGAGTACAATAAAGTGATATGATAAGAACCATACATTTCTTACCAAAATGTGAAACATACGTAGTAGTAACACTCATTCTGGCTGAAGCCTAGAACAGTTTAGAAAATTTTCACTTTTTTTAGTGCAAATTTTTTCATTTTTCACATTTAGCTCATCCATCTAATATTTAAACATAGTGTAATTTCTATTTTTAACCCACGACATCTCAAATTACTAGACAATCCAAAAAAGAAAGTAGGACAAACCAAAGTATTCATTGCAAATAGTAACAAATAACAATAGTGTATGTCACTTGAAGGGCAGTTACTTTTACCATCGTAAACGAAATTGAACATGGGTGCCATCATTTTCCACAATCGGAATATATCATAAACTATGATGATGGGATGAATAATTCCAACAATTATGCTTGATGTACCAATTGTTATACTCACCTAATACCCACCATGTTTGTGAAATATTTTTGGCAGGTTCACAGACAATATTTTGTTTGTGCAAAATATTGTCTGTGAACCGAGGTTCACAAAAAAAAACACTTCACAAACATAGATGAGTACAAAAGTGGATATAAGAGTAGGTATAAACATCTTTTTTGTAATCCAAAAGTGAGACATTTTACTACTTTTATAACGGATACTCCGTATTACATAGTAATTCGCATAGACAAAGATAATTGAACAGAATAGGAAAGGTAGATATGTCAGGATATGGGACAGTCATTACAGTTACAACACCTCCGATGATACACTGTGCACGGTGCACATGTCACATGAGAGATATGCGCATAATCAAATATTACTCCGTATCAAATAAATTATCTCTCCTTATTTGAATAATTTTATATAATTTTGATATGTTTTTCTCTGTAATGTCAGTCACAATGTCAACATCAAGACGGTTTTCTTGACACTGTAGAGAAAAATTTAATAAAATTGTATAAAATCATTCAAATAAGAAGAGAGATAATTTATTTGTTACGTAGTACGTAGTAATATTTATGTGACTTTCTCTCATGCCACATGTGCACTATATACATTTAGCATTGAAGATGATCTTATCGTTAACGAGGATGCAAAACTATAGATTTATCGCTTAACTAAATAATTTTACCCAATTCAAAGACATAATTATTAAAAATTTTAAAAGTGATGTTACAATGTTGAAGCTCATTGTTAAAACATTTGTCTCACACCGGAAAGTTATAAAATAATTAAATACTATATAAGATTTTGGGTACTCTTCCTATCAGATTTGACCTTTTAGGATGAAACCCCAGACCTTAACATGGTATCAGTGTCAATTCCGGTTGTGGTTTGACGGCTTGTTTAGCACCTATGATTAAGGGTAGCTTGTTATGAGTTTGTTTGGCCCATTTATACACCCGATATTGTCCAGCCCGGTTCAGATTGAGGGGGCGTGTTAAAGCATTTGATCCACACCGAAAAGTTATAATATTGAATTTTTAGTATGGAACCCCAGACCTTAATACTCATCTTCTGTTTTTGTACGGAGTAGAAAATAATTTGTCGTTGAAACTTTTTTGGTTAAAAATCGTCCCTGAATATATTTCGAAACAACAAGGAAAAACGTTTTTCATATAAAAAAGAAACCACAAGGAAAAACGTTTTTCATTTCCAAAACAGAAGACATATTCCACGAAATGTCGAAGAACCATAGACCTTTGGATCCAAAGAGCAATATTCTGCGATAATTTTTTTCTTTTGCCAAACACAGGAAAATAAAAAATATGCCTCGTATATTACTAGTACCATAAACATACAAGCTTTACTAATGTGACCATACATTTGTATCTCATCTAACATTATTTTCTTAAGCAAATTAATAAAACTGAACCTACACTCCTTCAGTAACATATATTCTATTTGTTCCAAGGTGGATTTTTGTTATTCCACATTTAACTCCGAGTTCAATTCATATGTTCAAAATTTTAGAACACAAACTTAAGTTTCCACAAAATCTAGGTCTATCTCATAGACAAAGTCTCCAATATTGCATTTGTGGAAAACCACCATTTTAGAGTTTAGAGGTTGAGGCCATGTTCGGAAAACCACCATTTTAAGTTTAGATTTTAGAGGTTGAGACATACTGTAATATTTAAAACCAGAAGAAGATAAAACTGGAGATTGCCACTGCAATCTTGGTGTTTCTTGACGTTTTCGGACGATGACCACGCTAATTATGTGGGTATGGTAAGCCACATCACATGCAATCTTGGTGTTTCGGATCGAAAAGCCACATCACATGCAATCTTAGAGTTAAGTTTGAGTGTTTTATAACATGTGATCTTGGGCCTAGAACTAGTTGTATGATAGGTTATTTGTTACCAACAAGTCATCTTGTTAGCCGTCTGAACAAGTCAACTTTGTTAAGGATTACCATGGGCGAGCCATTGCTTCCATGGTCGACTTGGCCACAAACTTCTGAACATGGATCTGTACCTTGGAAGGGGCCTATCCAATAAGGTGGTGGACCAACTCTCAACCAATGAATGGCCCATATACCACATGCCACCTGGCATGAGTCTTTGCCTAGACAAGTCAAATACGGAGTATCTAATACTCTCTTACAAGCCCTACAATAAATAAGTTAACCTCATTAGAGCATCTCTAATGCCATACTTTCAACACTGAAAGTATGATGGCACATGTTAATCAATCAGTGGAAATGTTATCCACGTTGAAGCAATGTTACGTATGTTAATAAATGAGTGGGAATATTATCTGTAATGCTATTGATGTGAATCCTACATGGCAGTTATTTTTTAATATTAATTAAAGTAATAAAGCTAAATATGGGTAAGTTGCTTGTTAAATATCCCACGATGAATTCTATTGACGAGTCTTTCGCTGTTTAACTGGCTTTCTACAATCTGAAAGTGAGCTTCACACTTTGTACATTTAATTTTGACACCTCAGCAACACACCACGGAAGAAAGAATGCATTGGAGCAGATAAAAAAGAAATACTTTCCTGCTCTATGACATGGCCGTATTTTTTAAATGTTAACACCATGGCATTGGAGATGCTCTAAGCTCTTTGAACTGAATAATTCAATGCATCTCAACTCTCTAAATAAGGCTCTGTTTGCAAGTGATTGTGCTTAAATAAAAGCACTTTTTGGAAAAAAGTGATTAGTAGTAAAAGTTGGTAGTGTTTGGTAAAATAAGTGTTTTTTGTGTAATAGAAAAAGTAAAAAGTAAATTCTACACGAAAACCGAGAAAGTAAAAGTTGGTATTTTTTGGTAAAATAAGTGTTTTTTTCTTAAAAAAACAAAAACACTTAAATTAATTGTTTGCAAACAAAGCATAAGTCCTCCGACTTCCTCCTGTCCAGTTTCTACCGGGAACATTAATCACTTCCGCCCCGAGGTTTGCAACTCCACAAGTGTTCTATTTAGACAAACATCACACTCATACCACATCCCCCTGTCCAGTTTCTACCGGGAACATTAATCACAGTCCAGCCGATTGTGGTGGGCCCTCAGGGATGAGGTGTCATCCTTTTTTTTTTGACAAACATATTCATTGGTAGAACCATCATCCACTCTACAAGTATTCCATAAGGATTAAATGATTTCTAATTTCAGGATAGTGAAAATGTTCTTACTTGCCAACTTAACTTGTGTTTGACTTCTACTTGCAAGACTTTCTTTGACTTGATTCCACTGCATACAAGGGGAGCATGCATGCAGTGTTACGTTCACATATTCTTTTTAAACGCTCCAGATTACTTAAATTTTGGAATCACCTCCAAACAAAAGAAGTCAAATCAGATAATATTTGATCGTTAGAAATCAAGATCACATCTTGTTTAGTGCATCTAGGGGTGGATTTGGTCCTGGTCCGGCTAGTCCCGATCATTGGTTAGAGAGAAACCCACTGACTCAGATATATGGGTTTGAGCTGGTTCCCGGTAACCGAGCGGTCTAGTCCCGGTTTTGCTCCCAGTATATATTTGTTTTTGCCCGTTTCCAAGGCTAAAAAAGTTGCCGGACTAAGATCGCCAGTCCGATCTCAAATAGTGCCGGATCCAATTCAAGACCGAGCAATCCACCCCTAAGTGCATCCATAACTCGCATAAAATAATTATTACTCCGTGTAAAATGTAACATAAACTAGACACTCCTTAAAAAGGAGTAGTTTATGATATAGATAAAGCGTAACCGCAAAGGTGAGAATTTTTAATTTTGTCCCTTCAAATTCAAAATTACTTCAAATACCTATTAGATAGAGAGAGGATAATACTACTGCGATCTCAAATATAGAGAATGATGATCGATTGGTACAAAACATCGTTATACTAGACTCAGCGCATTAAGACATTAATTCATTCTCATTCATATCCGCATCCTCTTCACATCATTTTCAGGGACACTTAAATCATTTCCATTGCCCGCCGTAGCCTGCATATAGATGTTACCATGAGGTCCATGAGACAACAAGTAATATAATTGAGTCATTTTAACTTTGTAGAGATAATGATGCCACTTTGTAGAAAATTGACTACAGTAAACATACCGCAGAAAAATTGATACTTTTAATGTCAAGTGACCATGATTGCAATTTCATAGTGACTATGATGATGTTATGTTTGTATGGTGATATTTTGAAATAGCCGTAGTGATATAGTTGTCACGTTGTCCATAGCTTTTATTTTATTAATGTTATATGAAAAAACCAAAAACATTATTGGTCTTGAAACGGAAAGGGCTAGTAGAAAGGAATCATACATTCTCATCTGGAACAACTGCATATCTCTGTGTTGGTGAAACATAATATTTTTCAGCTGAAAAAAGAGAGAGAAAGGATAGGTAGGAATGCAGTCAGGGAAAAGAATTTCTTGGACTAAGTTAAATAAAACAAGGCATTGTGTTCACAAGAACCTGCTCCAGTTGGATTGGACATAGAAACTGCTATATGTTGCACATTTGATCCATCCGCGCTCAATGCTTCTATGATCTTCGGGACATTCCTTCATATTACAAAACGGTGCCAAAATGTCAGATTTCTGAAGTGGAAAGTTCAAAGTACCAGTCGGATGGCTTAGAAATAAAATTGTAACTATCTTCTATGTATCATTGCCATCTCGATGCAGGTAAGGGATGATACACAGATTCTTTTCCACGTAGTATTTCTTTTCGTTAATATCTATTTACTTATGGCTTATATATGTTTTTGGTCCTTAGCAACCTCAATTTCACGATGAAACAAACATGCCCAACAAGTTTTCTTTCTTTCTTTATCAAGTCATTAAAAAATGATGTAATCTAATTTTTAGAAAGCCATTGAGACCTATATTAGAACGTAAGTAGTTAGTTTCTCTGAGATTTAACCCCACCAATACTCTCCAAACAGTTATAAAAATGAGGTAAAAAGTTTAGAATAATGTTATGCACGCTACGCCAATTTTATTCTTAACGGAAACTGTGGAGTTTTTTTTGGAAACTAACCGGAGTTAAAGAGACTAAAGATAACAGTGTATTTCTTGAATGAAAAATAATATTGCAGATACTGAAGGCAAAATGTGATTTATTTGAAGGGACAAAACATATTCAAGCGTTCATTTATTTTACAAGCTGGTATAAGGGCACTTTACCTGTCAGCAGATTCTCCATGACCTAACTGTCCATTTGTGCCTCTACCCCAAGAAAACACGTTTTGTCTTTCGGTAACAGCTACTGTGTGCCTCCAACCACATGCCACTTTAACTACTTTCTGAAATGTGACAAAGCAGAATGTCAGCAACTCTGAAACTGAATTAGGATTACGTAGAACCATTTTTTATATGAAAAGTACGCAAAGGCCATGCCTGATCATCTGGGAATGCCACTTGTGTGGGTGAACAACGATCTTCATTGTCACCAACACCAACTTGTCCGAACTGTGCAAAGGAAAATGTAAAAAACAAAATACTTAATTATACACCGGGGCTGTGTTTTTTCTATGTGTTACCCCGTAATACTTGAGAAGTGATCATTAATCATGTACAATCATGACAATGGTTAAGGAACACATTTACACATCCAGTTACAAATACGGAGTACAAATAATCTTTCATGTGTCAGGCAGGAAAAGAGATGGCATAAAAATGTTAAAAGAAAAAGGACAGCTTTAAACCCTCAGTTGGTATTCAGATGGTTTCTAAAGAATATGAATAAAAAATACCCTCAGTTGGTATTCAGATTGTTTCTAAAGAATATGAATAAAAAAATTATGTACAACAGTACAAATGTGTGGCTTAATCAAACATATATTACATTCTTGTTCAAGAGTTACAAAAAGAGATAAGATAATCACCTTGTTCCATCCCCAACCATAGAGCTTACCATCAGTTGTGAGTGCCATGGTGTGCCTCCATCCACCTGATATCTGAAGAAAAAAAGGATAAAAAAGAAATTAATAATATAATTCAGGCAAATAAGCAGGTTACACATGCATATCTAATATTCAATTAAAAAAACTATAATGTATATGCATACGAGAATGAAGAGTTTATCTGTCATATTGGCAAAAGATTAGAAAGATATTGAATGCTCCCTATTATACATTTTGAAAAAAGTACCTGAGAAATAGATGCACCATGCAACATTTCAAGTTTATGGGGGACAAGGTGGTCTTCAAAATCTCCATGGCCTAGTTGGCCATATTTACTCCACCCATAAGTGTACAAAGATTCAGAGGAAGAAACAGATATTGTATGTCGCCATCCACAAGCCACCATAATCATCTTCTCTCCCTGCAATGTTAAACTATCACAAGGCAAACGAGGAAAAACTAGTGCAATGCAGGAAGTGCAGGAGCAACCTAGAAGCATTAACAGAAGCATTCACATGTTAAGTCTCTCAAGAGTCAATAACATAAGATGATTAAGTTTCTCCTATCATTCTGTAGCCAATTATTGTTACAAAGTTTTGTTGAATACAGAGGAAAGAAAACTACTATAGGAAATCCTCTGGAAGATTCTTTAGTGCTCACTCTCTTATCATAAGACACCACTGACCAAATTACATAAACCAAAGAGAAGTAGTTAAGTTTTTTTTTTCAATTCCTGGAAATTATCATGGTATCCCAATTTCAGCCTTTCCATATGCCTTGCAATTCAGTTGTAAATAAACACTTTTATAAAATAAACATGAACACAATATATATTAGGGCAAACAATGGGGAAAAAGTAATAGGAAACTCCAAATTCTTTATGAAAAGGACCATTGACCACCTATTAAAAGATGGCTTATAATAAGGACCAGAGGAGTATAAAGTGTCACATAGAAGCTCTTTTTAGCAAATAAAAAATAGATTGAAGATATCAAGCATAACAAATATGGCTTCTTTGAAACAGAGAGCATTAGTTAGACACCCTAATTACCTGTATAGCTGAAACTTTTTCAGGGACTAAGCGATCATTCCTATCTCCCAAACCCAGATTACCATATCTCCCCCATCCCCATCCATACAGCTCACCATCTTCAGTCACAGCAGCTGTATGTTCAGCACCTGCAGCGACCATCTTCACAGGAATTCCCTTCAAGAGAAAATCTTTCAGTAAGACAATTGCAATGTGTATGTATAGATGTAAGTAGGCCCCTGTCCAGTTATCGGGAATATAAAAGCGGAAGGGAAGAACAAAATAATAAATATTGCCCTCGAAGGACCTTGCAGAATTGTTGAAATAAGAATGAATAATCCATGAATACCTGAAATGTTTCAATCTTCTGAGGCAAAGGAGAATCCTCTATAGTACCGAGACCCAATTGACCATTTTGATTCCTCCCCCAACTTCAAGTTGACAGACAATGAATTCAAATAATAAGAAACTACTTTAACAACATTTAGAATATATCCATGTACATTGTACAACTGCACAGATATTAAACTTGATGAAGTTCAATACAAAGAGAATCAAAATTTAACAAACAAGTTGACTTCGAAGGTTAAGAAGTGGTAAGAAGTTATTGAATTCGCACTTATAAGGAGTTCCATCTGAAGGGTAGCTTGAATTTATCTTTGATTATAATGTAAGTTTACATAGAAAAGATTGTTGTTAAGTTTAGTGATAACCCTAAGGGTCTGTTTGCCTGTTTAGATTGAAGATTTTGAAGGGGTTTGAAAGGAAAACTATGGATGGCTTAGTCTCTATCTTTTTTTTTGGCAATGGCTTAGTCTCTATCTTGATAAATACTCCGTATCATGTTTCAAAAACTGCATAAAAGGTGATTCAAAGTAAAAGGTCAACATCATGTGTGATCATATAACATTTTTCTTTAACTGTTATACAATCGCATATTATGTGAAACTCTCACTATGTTTTTGCTCAAAATTATTTCAATGTTGACTTAGTCCTCCAAAACCCTATCCTCCAAAAGGCTCCATCCAAATTCTATACTGGTAAGAAACGAAAAAAAAAGACTAGTTTGGTATGTTAATATAAAGATAATAGAAAGTAGGAAAAATGCAGCAAACCTCCAGACTTCTCCTTCCATGGTAACAGCTAAACAATGGCTGTCCCCACAAGCAATCTGCTTTATCTGTATTCCGTGCAATGCTTTGATTGGTTGAGGGATAAACAAGTCGCTAGAGTTTCCATGGCCCAATCTTCCAAAGTCACCCCTGCAATAAAGTGGTTAAAACTAGCTTGCTGGATAGTGATAAACCGTGCATGGGAAAAACTTTTGTCCTCGTCGATTTCCTATTTCCTCGTATTATACAACCAGGGTTGTCAAATTGTCTAGAGGATAATCGAAAGAATATTTGCTTTCTATCCAGAAGTAAGACATAGGAAAACTAATGATGACTACATTTGTCTCACTTTCTTCTTACTCCGTATTAAATTTTGCGCTGTTTGAGACTAAAGTTCCTGTTTACGTTTTGCAATAGTATGACTGTCAAATTTTCACGGGGTAAAAGAATTCATGTAGACCAGTGAGCCCATCCGTTACAGGAAAATGACAATGTGTTTTTGTACCAGTTTATTAACAGTGAAAGTCATTAGTTCATTACACAATTATGTATCCTGTTTTATCCAATCGCCTGAGGCGAGTACCTGGGACCACGGCAGGGAGTCCTCGCTACTCGGGCCGTCGGGCGTACCCCATGCCGTCTTTTTTATCTACTCGTTTTACTCAATGTATTTCTGATTTGTTTAGGATAAATGTTAAAAATTAACTGCAGTGGTCAATTTTGTATAAGAGTATAAGGGAGTGTTTGCAACAACTTAAAAAAGCATTTCTCAGCTTTTGGCTTAAAAATACACTTATTTACCAAACGCTACAAATTTTTACTTTTTTCTCGGCTTGCGTGTGAAAAGTCTTTTTCCTTTTCTATTACACAAAAACACTTATTTTACCAAACACTACCAACGTTTACTTTTTAAACTCATTTTTTTCTCAAACACTATCAACTTTTACTACTAATCATTTTTTCCTTACATCTCCAAAAGCACTTTTTTTAAGCAGAAGCAGTTGCAAACACTCCCTAAGACCATTAGAAAAAAGGTAATATGTTACTTATATAATGTCAAAAACCTGATCGGTCTCATATGATCGGATAGACCGACATATCCGGTCGGGTATGATTGCATTTTACAGTTTCTGAGGAACTACCCTTGGTACCCGATCAGGTACCCTATATACCCAATCGGATACATGACTCTGACACCTACAAATACCTATAAATAAACCTATCTTCATTCCCAATTAGGTACCAATTCTCATATACTCTTAGGCTATGTTTGACAGACATAAGTCTCTGCCTTCTAGCTTTTGTACTGTTCAAAAGTCTTTAAAAGCTTCTAGTTATATGTTTGGCATGACAATTTTTAAAAGTTTTTCAAAAATTAAAAGATCTTTATTGAGATGCAGCAGGAAGTAGCATCTGAAAAAAGCTCGTGGCTTTTAGTATTGATTAGTCTAAACAGCTTGTATATCAAACCGAACCAAATCAAACAGTCAACTTTTTACCAAACAGCTAATACCTTTTCTTTTTAAGATCTTTTCAGTCACAAAATCTAGCAGTCATTAATAAGCTAACAAAAGTATCTTTTCAGCTATTTGTGCCAAACATACCCTTACCTCATTTTAGTTAAAGTATTTTCTAGCATGTTTAGTCTCCAAATGAGGAGCTAAACCCTCTCATCTTGGTTTTGCTACAATGAAGCTTATGATTAGTAAGTTGTGGGTTATTTTCTTTAATCATCTTCCTTGAATATTAGTTGCATTCCTATTTTATATTTCATATTAATATTTGAACATTACTTAAAATATCAATTAGTTTTGTTTCATATATTAATTATTACTAGAATCGATCGACGAATACACGTGTTATTTGTTCGCACCTTTCAACGGTAGTAAACTTGGATTATTAATGCATGTGTCTCATGGTTAATAATCTAAGGGGGTTAATTATATTGATTAAACCAATAATCATTTGTGTTGAGGTTGTCAATCTCAGTTGATTTTAGCGCAAGTTTTATTGCTACTATCAGGTCAATATATATAAGGCGTATGTTCTATACTGACTTGATAGTAAGTTTTATTAATGAACGCATCTCGTTATTAATAACTATCATCGATGAATTGGAAATACTCCACGACTGAGTATTCGAGAGGAAGATAGATAAAAATATAACCATGATTGACGAACATTTCATTAAATGGATATAAGCAAAATCAAGTCTCAATCTCTATTAATTTAAACCACAAAGTTGTGCATCTTAGTGTTTAAATACTCTTTAAGTTCAAAAATCTTAAAACTCCCCCTTGTTACAATTTATCAAAAGAAAAATATTTATTTCCTTGTTGATACGATTCTTACTATTCTATACTACGGTATTAGTGCACGTATTGAATATTATTTTGAGACACACAACGACTTTAGTACCGTCATAAGATCACTATGTTTTTTGTATAAGACCACAATGCATCAATAATACTATAATTTAGCATACCATCCCCAACTGTAGACCTGCATGAGTGACTCAGAATAAGCTGCTGTGTGATCAGCGCCACAAATAAGAGATACTACTTCCTGCCCATCCAATGCACTCACTTGAGTAGGGAAAAACCTATCTTCAGCATCACCATGGCCCAGCTGCCCATCCTCTCCTCTCCCCCATGAGAAAACAACATTTCCAGCTATAAAACATCCAACACCATTTCATTCTGTCAACGCTTAAATTCAAAATATAAACCACTGAAACACAAACAAAAAACAATATGGCCTATAGTTGAGGGATCAGACATTTACAGAGTATATTGTACGATGATTGACAAAACTGCAGGCTTTCTATTTTCGGTGGTTGGTTAAATCCTTTAACCCGTTACATGGGAGAAGAGCTGAATTTAAATTTGAGATCATTAATGGAATTCGCAGATTAAAATTTTTAAGTCAAATATTAGACTAGGTGATAACTTTGCTTGCTACGACTCCTATGAGACTATGAGTCAAACAACTTTGGAAGTGGTTAAAGTCTCAGCCATGTGTGGTGTGGATGGAGGAGCCATCCACGTCCGAGATGTGGGACCCGGGGCGTTATGGGCAAGAGGTCGTGGGGTAGGAGAGGTGGGTAGGGGCAGGGTGGTCTAGGGATGGCGTAGGGTAGGATAGAGTGGTAAGGGTCAGGGAGCGGCATAGGAGGTTGTGGGGTGGGATGGGTAAGTAGGTGGTGACTAGTGGGGTTAAGGGGTGATGCTTACTAAAAGAGCCAATCAAAATGAGCCGAAACCCGCGGGTTGATCTGTTCAAACTCATTTTTAGTGGGTTAGAAGCTGTTCCGTTCACCTGATCTGAATGTTTCTGATCTGAATTTTTTAAGTTCTGATCTGATCTGATCTGAATTTTTCTGATCTGATCTGATCTGATCTGAATTTTTCTGATCTGATCTGATCTGATCTGAATCTTTCTGATCTGATCTGAACGTTGCTGAACTGATCTGAATGTTGCTGATCTGATCTGATCTGATCTGAATGTTTCTGATCTGATCTGAATGTTTCTGATCTGATCTGAATTCTTCTGATCTGAATCTTTCTGATCTGTTTTGAATATTTCTATAATTGTAATTATAATTATAATTATTAGATTTATAATTGTAATTAAAAATATAACTTAAATAAAATTACAATTATAATCATAATTATAAAAAACTAATAATTAAAATTAAATTTAAAATTATAATAATTATACCAATTACACTAATTATAAATACAGATACAATTATAAATGTAATTATATTTTTTATTATAATTAATTTTATAATTATTTTTTTTGTAATTATAATTATAATATTTATCTCTATAATCATAATTATATCTATAATTGCTAATTTAAATATATAATTACTCCGAAGTAATAATAATTACAAAAATAACAACAAGAACAAAAATCATATTAATAATAATGATGATTATAATTATAATTACATTGTAAATCATAATAATAATTATAATTATAAATATATTATATTATATTATATTATATTATATTATATTATATTATATTATATTATATTATATTATATTATATTATATTATATTATATTATATTATATTATATTATATTATATTATATTATATTATATTATATTATATTATATTATATTATATTATATTATATTATATTATATTATATTATATTATATTATATTATATTATATTATATTATATTATATTATATTATATTATATTATATTATATTATATTATATTATATTATATTATATTATATTATATTATATTATATTATATTATATTATATTATATTATATTATATTATATTATATTATATTATATTATATTATATTATATTATTATAATATAATAATAATTTTATATTATTAACATTATTATTATATTATTATTAATAATATTATTATATTAATATATTAATATTATTAACAATACCTATAATATAATAATCATAATTAATATAATAATAAAAGTGATAAATCATGTTTGAGATTTTTGATCTGATCTGATCTGATCTGAATGTTTCTGATCTGATCTGAATGTTTCTGATCTGATCTGGTCTGGTCTGAATCTTTCTGATCTGATCTGAATGTTGCTGATCTGATCTGAATCTTTCTGATCTGATCTGAATGTTTCTGATCTGATCTGATCTGAATCTTTCTGATCTGATCTGATCTGAATAAAATAATATTAAGGAATAAGTAATAAGATTAAGACGAACGGAACAGCTTCTTAGGGTTGTGATTTTTTTACTCATATAACTCGCGGGTTTTGTGAGTCAATCCACGCGGGTTGCGGGTTTAAGTGGGTCGACCCACACTGGTTACGGGTTGGCCTGCAAGCCAATATACAAACTTATAGTTTTGACTTTTTCTATCTTCAATATTGTTCTTTTAACCAACAGAATTATAATTACAATTAAAAATTTACAACCATTGCAAAATAATTATTATTTCTATAATAAAAATTCAATAAATTGTTGAAACATATACTTTATGTAAAGTTCGATATAATATTTAACATTTAGTAGTCATGATTCACAAATAATTACTCAAAAGATTTAAGTAGATCTACGGGATAATTATTTTTCATGAAAATATACTTTTCATGTATATTTTTTGACATTGGCCTGCAGGCCGACCTATTTAACCCACAAGTTAGATGAGTTGGGTTAGGGTGGTAAAAATTCTAACACATCATTAAACGGGTTGACTCGATCCAACCCACATAAAGCAAAACCCGTCACGAGCCGGTTCGGCTGGTTTGACAGCTCTACTTACTAAGCAATATTATACGGAGCAAGACATAAAAGTGTCTAACAGACATAAATTTATCCAACAAATTGTGTACTTCACCTATGTACAATGAAATTAATAGGGAAGTGAATATGTCCTTAAAAATGTGAGTAAATCAAGAGAATTGAGCAATGAGCTACTAGTGATATTTAAATAAAACGAGTAGGTAGGGGCGGATCTCTTCTATGCAAGGGTGTTCATGTGAACACCCAAAAGTAAAAAAAACAATGGGAATATATATATATATATATATATATATATATATATATATATATATATATATATATATATATACACACACACACAAATTAGAGTAATAATTTATTTATTAGTATTTTAAAGAGAAAATGTGTAATTTTGAACACCCAAATTGTAAACATTAGATCCGCCACTGCGAGTAGGCACTGTTTGGAGATGATCTAATCAAATAAGTACGTAGTAATTTTTAAGTAGACCTATGAGTTTTTCTTTTTAATAAAGCTCACAAAGTGGTTTTTGCCCTTTTTAGCAAAATAGTCAATTTACAATACTCCTTACTCTCAATTGAATTTACAAAAGTTGAATGACACAAGAGTTACAGAAGATTATAAATAAAGTTTGACTGTACTATTATGCTCTACTAGCTCCAATAAAGTATAGACATTTAACAAAATGAAAAGGGGTAAAAATAAAGGTACATTTATCACTTTATTCATCTTTCAATACTTAAAATGGAAAATGGAATGCCTTTTGTGAAAACCAAATAGGAAGTGTTGCAAATCAAATTGAGACAATGAGATAAAATGTTAGAGAAACACAAAAGTTAGTGATGGGTAATATATTTAGAAACTAATTTTTTTAAAAAATATTATTAAATCTACCTTATTTTAAAATTTCAAATTCTCATTTTTTACTAGAAAAATGAAATATATTATATATTTCGTATGTGTTAACAAAAGTGAAATGAAAACGTTGTAATTATAAACGAATTTAAGAACTACTCGGTAAAAATAAGAAAAGACGGGGTTAATCTGAAAATGAGAGTAGGAAGTTGTACGGAGTATTTTTTTGGACATTGCCATAGGATCTAGTCTAGTTGAATCCAAAAGGGTAATTTAGCCAGTGGCGAATGATAAGACTTGCGTTGGATTTCTGACTCCATATCTTTGATTCTTTTACCCACAACCTGGCGCGGACCAATGCCGTCAATAAATTGATTTTTGTTTTCTACTCTCCCCCGAAATTATAGCACAGTTTTCATCTCTGATTAAAAAAAAATCAGAAAAATATTTGTAGTTTGCGTTATTTGTCTCACGTTCTGAAAATTTTGATGTTTTCATTTTCTTAATTAATCTCTCCAATGTAATAGAATTTTTAATGGGAAAGGGTCAAATAAAGTATTTTAACTATTACAAAATAATCACATAATCATGTAATGGTAAATATTACTACCCCGTTTCACAATTAAAGTTACACTTTCCTTTTTTGGATATGTCAAAATAAAAGTCACACTTCCAATTACTTCTCATTTAGGAAAGAAATTTAAATCAATAAAGTACAAAACAACGCAAAATAGTGCTAAACAGTCTCAAAACAATATACTCTACAAGGAGCGGAGCCAGGGCACTGGGTCGATACAAAGAATATTGTCGGAAAAAATGTACACAAATTTTTTTACACTAAAAATTTAGACATTTTTAAAATATGAGTTGGGCCTGGGCCAGGGTTGGCCCTCCCCTAGCTCCGCCCTTGCCCGATTACTTTTTATAAATAAACATATTTATATAACATTTTATTGAGTAATGACCTTATATAACGATTTCATAAATCATAATAGTAGTAGAGGATCTCATTTGACCATTTTCTAAATTTTCAATTAATGTAGAAATAAAGGGAGTGTTGTACTCAGTGGTATTGATTTTAATTTGTGACGATAAAATAATTTAAAAGAATCTCTCCGTATATACTCCCTCCTGTCCTTATTAAAGTTCTCAGTTTGATTTCACACAGATTAAGAAAATAAATTTGATTTTACTGTGGGGTGCACTGTTTGGTACTGTTTGGACACTGTTTGACACTGTTTGGCACTGTTTGACACTGTTTGTCACTGTTTAGCACTGTTTTGCACTGTTTTGCACTGTTTTGCACTGTTTTGTTTCCTAAAATGGAAGTATGAATTTAAATAAAGGACATTCCAAAAAGGAAAGTGCGAACTTTAATAAGGACCGGAAGGAGTATCTCCTAAGATGAAATGACAATTTGACCTCCAAAAGAAGAGAAAGTCAAACTGTCAAAAGCCTTGAAAGGGGATCGAGAGATTACTCACGGAGTAAAAATAACTACTACGTACTCCGTAACTTATTACAGTAATCACTTCGTAACCGGCGAGACAGCTGGACGGTAGTTAGAGCTCTCACAGACAGAAAAAAGGGAGGAACGCCGTTTGAATTTACAATTTTAACCCTAATGACTTGTTGGGCAAGTAGGGTGACGTGTACCATCGGGATCAATGGAACCTCAGTTACCTAACCTGAGTGACAGGCAAATTCAGGAAACGACGGAGTTTTACTTTAGTGCGTGAACGCTTTCACACCTACGCCGTGAAAGCGAAACCTACAGTATCTTCTTATCTAAATATACAGTCCTCATCATTCAATTTTGAGGTCAATTCGATGAATCATATATATACACTCCGTATTGATATGCTTACCGAGGAGAGCGACGGAGTGGCTGGCTCCGGCGGAGATGAGAAGCACGCTGCGAACAGTCGCCGGCGAACCGCTCGCTGGTTCTGTGATGCTACTTTCTTCGGCCATTTGAAATTTCTGCACCTCTCCAAAAGCTAGGGACGGACAGTGAGAGAGATCGGAGGATAAAATGGAGTTATTATGAGGGGGGAAGGATGAAGCTAAGGGGAATTGAATTGAAAGTGAAATGGCAGGGCAGGGGAGCAATGGTATTTATGGCGATGGAGAGTGATGGACCGAAAGTGCAGGGCAGAGATCACAATAAATTAAGCCAGCATTGAGTTCAATAATACAACAGGAATAAAAAAACAAGTGTACTCTACCGTTAGTTTCAAACGGGAAAAGTAGTAAATAAGTTCTCGAACTAACAAAAATGCAAATCACATGTCATATAAATGAGAGGTTTTGTCCGGCTATCGTCATTTGGTGGGTTTTCAGTGGATTTTTTTGATGAAATTTTTTTAGCATCTACTTAACTAAGTCTAGTTTACCCATACCAAATTTCATCTAAAAATTCAATCGAGAAGACAGTCAAATAAATTTTTGAAGACAAGTGCGCAGTTAAACAGCGCAGTATATTTCAGAAAATCATTTGACTTCCTTCCTGGTTGAAGTTTTAGCTGAAATTTGGTTTAGGTAAATTAAACTTAATTAAGAAGATGCTCAAAAGATTATATCAAAAAACCGACTGGGAACCGCCCCAAATGGCGACGGCCGGATAAAAGTTCCTATATAAAGGGTGATTTGCACTTTTTTTGGTTAGTTCGAGAACTTATTTGCTACTTTTCCCTAGTTTCAATATTCCCTAATATGAAGTATATTTTTTTGTACACATTTTTTCTACATGCGGTCTAGTTGCATGCAGGGCCGGCCCAAGGCAGGTGCAGCCAGCCCGACCGCACAGGGCCCTTTAATTTGGAAGGCCCAAAAAAAAAATTTATTAGTAGTATTATTCAACCCAATATCCTATCATCTATCTTTGAAGGAACGGCGAAAGGAAATACGGAGTAGGAACAAACGAACGAAGGGAGTTAGGGAACCGGCTAAACCGCAAGCCCAATCTGCCGAAGTAGAACTGCGAAGGTCAAAGCTTCGAAGGGGTTCGCCGGAATCGCCGCCAGTCCGCCACTCGCTAGCAAGACCCAAGTTGAAGTCTCGACTCTCTACTTCTCCAGCTCGCCAACTCCGCCAAGGCACCAAGCACACAAGTAGTGACGCCCGCCTCCAGGAGTCAAGACGCAACACCACTGGACGTTTGCACCAGACAGTCAGACACCATCACGCCAGTTCGGTAAGCACTGCCGCAGTATAATCATTAATCAGTCTATGATTATCCTGTTTATTTGATTCTTTGAATTGCAAATTAGTGAAATCTCTTTATTCTATTTTCAATTTGTTGCCTATTTGTGTTATTTTTGTTTGCTTATTTAGTTATTTATTTGAATGATTTATTAGTTATTAAGTAATTGAATTGAGAATAATTATGTTTTAAAATTATTCAACTGTGTTCTATTAATGACTACTTTCATTTTTATTATTATGTTCATTAGTAACTTGTATTTTAATCAAATCACTTGTGTTTGGAACATGAAAAAAAGGCCCAATTTTTTTCATTGCACAGGGCCTCCGAATTCTCAGGACCGGCCCTGGTTGCATGTATACATATAAGTTTATGAATGAATTGAATGTGTACACAAAAGTTTCTGAATGAGCTGTCTGTGCATAGTGTGTACACAGACAATTAGATGTGTACAACAAATGTGTACAAATGATTTTTTTCTTACTCAAACTGATCGATTAGCTGAATTTGTGAAATTTTGAAGGAACTTGTTGAATTTGCTGAATTGAATTGTGAATTTTTTTATTAAAAATACGGAAAAATATATAAAAATTGGTAAAGTTTCAAAAATTTCAATCAACTCAGCTGAAAAACAACTTTACGTTTATTTATGTTGATTATTATACAGTTCTAAAATGAAACAAAAATGATTGATAGGAGTGTTGAATAATAGCCAAAAATATGCACTACGTATTACCTAACAAACTCTTAATGAATCAAATCTCAATTGGAATTGATAGATGAATTTGAGAGAATTGTCTAAAATGAAATTAGTACGACGTTAGAAGGAACAAAACGAACAGATGATATGGTTAAATATTTTTTGAGTCTAGTGACTCTTTCCCCGAAATCATTTATTGATCGAAATAGTGGAATGAATAGCTTTGTGTCTTTGTGGAGGACTGGGAGAAATCATACTACTCCGTATTATTAATACTCGGTGTTCTTTATAGTTTATACGTGACAATCGAGTGACAAGAAGCTACGTTTGTCATTGCTAAAAATGAGTAGTCGTCTTGGTATTAGATTATAAGAAAATGAATGAGGATGTGTTATGATAATAAGAAATTGTTTTTATCAATGTGTTTTTCCAAATTTATGTATCAAAACGTAAATATTTTTGTAGTGAGTTCATGGTCATGGTACGTTAGTGTAATGTTAATTGCAACAATAATGATTATCACTTAAGCTAATTTCTCATTATCCACGACTATAATCACAACACTATTGTCCCTTTAAAAGTGAACCAAGATTCTTATATTTTTAGTTAATTGGCCCACCTTGCTTGTTTTTATTTTATGCTAAGAGCTTTGCTTGGTTTGGAGTGAAATTAAATTTATCTCCAAAACCTACAAAATCTTAATAACTTAATATGAATGCGGGTTTTTACACAATAATCAATTCCATTTATAATAACTTTAGGACGTTTTTACTTAGATTGTTTTCAGTCTCAAACCAGATCAGATCGGACCAATTCATCAAGTCATCAAATTTTAGTCCAACCGAAAACATTGTTATACATACTCACCTGCAGTGGCGGAACCAGAGAAAAATTTGAGGGGGTGCTTATGTATACGCACACATACGGAATTTTTTCTTTATATATATGTATATATACATACATAAATATATGCTTCGGTTGTGGTGATCGAGAACACTTTTTAACATGAGAAACGAGAATAGTCCAAAATGATGCACATTTCAAATAAAAATAATGCAAAAGTCGAATGTCCACAATAGTGTGTAAACTAATGCACAATTCACATGCACATTTTCTAATATATGATAGTGCACATTTTTGTTTCACATAATGCACAGTATACTCAAATCCAACGCTCCAGAATTACGTTGTTTCCATTTCTCTTTTTAGATCATGTTCTCATTTGAACCAAATTCCATAAATATATATGGTATGTTTAAAAAAATGTTCTCATTATAACTGCAGAACACTTCAATTTTAATTTATTTGTCAAATAATAGCACCACTTTATAATCTAATTAACAACATTTTAGGTATATCTCGAGTCATTTAGATATATTCATTTAATTAGTACCTTAACATAAAATATACATCATGAAAGCATAGAAAATTAGTAATATATTTATGTGTAAAATATAATATAATACATATGCATTTAATAATATACGAAGTACATTTTTAGTTTAAGTCTTTTTTTGTTATGTTCGATCATAACTTTAGAGTGAATTTGTTTCAACTTTATACACACTTATCATGGTACTTTAAAATGTTTATATGTAACTTTAATTTTAGCATAAACATTTACTTTTTCTTTGGTTTAGTACGAATGTTACAAAATTTATACGTAGTACGATAGTATGTCATGCCATTGTACTAAATAAAAAGAAAAAGCAAATCTGATATCGATATGAGAAGAAACAAAAAATGGCGTATACGGACTAGTTTGTAATGGAAAATAAGAATGTGAAAGAGCTGAAAATACTCAAAGGTAAAAAAAATTCAAAACAAAATACGTAGGAGTACTATAAACAAAAGACATCTGAAATGGAGGGCTAAGGAGCTTAAAAATTTACGTAGAGGTAAGGAATCGACCTCGGGACCTAAACTAGAACTCATATACATACATATATACATGTATGTATATGTCACAGACTCACAGCCCCGGTTAGAAAATGTGAATTATATAGGTCGCCAGACAACGGGGGGGGGGGGGGGGGCACGGGCTCGCTCCCCCCTAGTTCCGCCAGTGCTCACCTGATACATTAGTCCCTTGTGCATCTACCAATATATATGAGTTCTAGATTGTTTCAATTTGCTCACGTTACTTAACTCATATTCCGTTTTAAAGAATGAGCTTTACATAATCAAATGTATCTTTCTTCCAATTATTTAAACAATTCAAAATGTAAAATCAAAAGCTACGTATTTGATAACAAAAATTATTAATAAGACTGATTAACTGAAATAAGAAGTTATCAAACGGGCTTGTAATCATTCATGCTATTTACTCACTTTTATGAAAAATGTGAGAAGTCTTTTCCCAATTGAAAATATAGTATAGTATCAAGTACTATAAGTGTCAATTTTTGCAACAGTTTGACTTTCACATTTACCAACGCACAATTTTAACTGTAATTATATTTAATTATGTATTAGTAAATATAATAAAAAGTTGATATTTTGGAATTTCACAATGATAGGAATTTAATACTCGGTAACATTTTATTCGTAATAATTTGATTATGTAAAGAATGGGGATTCGGGGAAGTCTCATTCGCCATTCGCCAAAGCATCAGTTTTGCAAAAATCGGACTCAAATCCCGGAGAACGTCTTACCGCACGTTCAAATTTAATGGGGGGCGTTCAGTGTAAAAATTGCATTAAACTTGGTAGTTCTAGGTGAGTGTTTCACTGTTTTTGTTTTGTTCAAACTTCAAAGAGCGTTTCACTGTTCTAACGCATGATAAATTGATAATCAAATTAAAAAACAGAAAATTGTCCAAACTAAAAGTAAAACGTATTCTCTTCGTCTCAAATTGTTTTCAAAGTTAACATTTAATGATCAACCAATAATAAAAATCAATCATCTAGCTCTATCGATAATTAATTCAATTTTTAATAATTAAAATTTACATATTCAGAAACTACATTAAAAATCACTTCAAAGTTGCAAACTTCAAATTAGAATATAATTAAAAGTTGACATCTTAATTAAGCGAACAAAACGAAATTGTTTGACCAAGAAAAGTCAAATTTGTAAATTAATTTGGAACGAAGGTAGTAGTCTTTTTTCAAAAATAGAACAATATGTTTGGTTCTCTTTTAAGTAGAATTAATCGTCTAGTTTCTATCCATAATTAATTAACCTAATTATCCCATAGCTCCCTTGCATAACCAAATTAAATCACTCCTTTGGTGGCGACAAGAGACTTCGGCAGCGGCGATCTCCTGCAACGG